ATATCCCAGCCAATCAAAGACACGCAGTACCAAACCTGGAATAGTAAATCATTCTTACTGTTGTTATGTACCTTGTTGTGTTTTATAACCAAACGTTCTCCATTCTTGTATTCCTCTTCATTAGCAACCGTCCACTGTACACCTGACTCTTTCAGGGCTGTACAAATGAATAAAAAGTAAAATGGTAGACAGACGGGATTTAGTACAAGACTCGGAGACATACATGTGGAATATGTTTCTCTAACTCATTTAATAATTCATCAAGTTTAAACAAAGGAAATCTGAGACATCTGATCTTAAGTAGCATAGATTTTTACGAATTTATTTCTTTGTTTTCTCCTTAGTTTTAGTTTTTATAGAGAAGATATATCAAGCACTTTAGACAGTGTTTGACCATATTTCTAAAAACCTCAAAGTTTATCAAAAATACTCCACTACATGTCGTATTTTCAACTCTCTTCTCGGTGTTTGGTCAAACACGGTCTTTCGTGTTTGATAAATTATACTATAATTATCATTCTACCTTCTCCTTGAGGAGTGTGTGATTCAATAAGTTCGTCAGTGGCAGCACACAACAGTTTGTCACCAAGAGAATGATTCACGATTACAGATTTGTGTTCTCTGTCGAGGAAAAAGCACTGTTTACAAACAGATGACATAGCTAAGGAAACATGCTTAAGGACAGGACCGGGTAAATGCAACCAAAGCAAATTTACACATGAAGCTAAGTCTAACTCTGAGAAACGTCAAAGCATCGGAAGATAGACCAGGGCTTCCATACGCTCCGGGCGTTTCCCGGCCTGTGTTCATCAAAGGCGTACGGGCACTTTCGGACTTGGGGCGCGCGGTGACCGTCTTACCCGAAATACCTAATGCCGGAATGGGTTAGTGACAAAGTCGGGATACAAATGCCCTCAAATCGCAGTAAAAACAAAAACGTTCACAAATCTCACGTCCAATGAAACTGTTATAATTCCAGAAATAGTTATTTCTGAAACCTCGCATACTCTATGACCTCGATCGACAGCCTACTCGATCTACTAAATTCAGGAACTTATAAAACAAAACGTCATTTCTTCCTCGTACGAAAACTTAAAAATTTAAAACAGCTTTTTGTGGAGTCATTCAAAACGGCTCTTTTCAGAGCTTGGTATTCGTTCGCTTTGATTCTTTTGTCATTGTTTTGTTGATGGAAAATTGGAAATGGAAATAATGTCTGTGTCGTGGATTTCCCAGATTTCCATTTAAACCTAACCGACACGTTTTGGCAACGCAAACATCAGAGAAATTACCCTGCAAGCCTTGAAACATTTTTGAATGTTTTCTCTCAAGTGCTGTTGCCCGAGTCATGAGCTTTTTGCCCGAAAAAGTTACTAATTTCCGAAACTGGGGGGCTACATTCCCCCACGCACCACCGACCAGCTCGTGCGCCTATTGTGTTCATTAAGCCCCTCCTATATCAAACACGCAATTTCCTTGGAAATACAACTCATTAAAACGAAATGTACAGCACTGCAGTTTTTCGAAGTAGGCAGCAATGCACAATGCAAGGCAGATAACTTTCTAAGGAGGCCATGGTTAGCTAGATGATCCCCACTGAATCATTTTGTCTATCTAAGCCAGACAGTTAAATTAAGTAATAATGATAAATGATTAGAATGAATGGAACTTGCTCCTCTAGTTGATGAAAATCATATCGTGCTGGTCTCAAGAAAGTCTGCATTAGAGAAAGTTCACGGTACATCGCTCCTCTGCCACCTAGGAGAAAGAGAACACGTGTAGCTAATATACAAAATCAAAATGAACACTTACACAGCAATAGCCAGAAGAGTCAGGGACGGGTTTGGGTTCCATGCCATGCTGTGCACAGTACCACCACACTGCAAAGTCTTAAGACATCGTCCTGTGCACACTTCCCAGAACTTCACAACTTGATCATCACCTCCTGGTAGTAGAGTGAGAGACAAAAGAGCATGTTATCTTAACGCCACATGCAATAGCATTCTAACAGCTCTACAAAGCATTAAAATGGGTGATTGGAGGGCTGGGTTGTCCATCAGTTCTTCTTTGGAGGAAAGATTGTTCCTTATCACAGCCATTATATGAAGGTAGTCCTCTCTTCTCTCCATTTACCCAAAAAGTGGTTGAAAAGAAGGTACTATCACAAGGTCCAAATCTGAGTATTTAAACCAGCAGTTTTCATTTGAGTGTCGAAAGTAATCTGGCAATTACTTTGGTTTTGGTTTTGGTTTTACTACAGAGCGGTTTTTGATCAAGTGTTGAAAGAAATCAGGCAATTACTTTGGTTTTGGCTGAGTAATCTAATTGGTAAGTAATTGGTTTTGTTCTGGTTTCACGACACTCAGTTGAAAACCTTACAAACAGCTTTGCCTTTGAATGCCAAATCAGGTCTCCTCAGAAGTCGCTTAACTGTTACAACACTGTCTTTCAACAACATTTCTCTGGAGATGAACACAACCATTCTTTTCATCACTTTGCTTAAAATCGTTTTGATTTTTAATGGAACTACATGTACATTGTACACTCGTAATTCTGGTATAAGAATGTGTACAACATGAAGCTGCAGATATTTTATCACACACAGTACCTGATGCTATCCACTGTCCGGATGGATCAACAACGACACACCTTACAACTCCTGTGTGGCCTTTGTACACCTGAAATGTACATGTATGATGCTTTAAAATGATAACACCCACACTTCGGCGGCAAGTTAATAGGAGGAAAATCAGTGTGGAAGTGCACATGTGACAGCTTGTTGCTTATTGAAACTGATAAATTTATCGCGAAATTTCACCCCATATGCCTTCAATGGGGTGCAAGGGNCACCCACACTTCGGCAGCAAGTTAATAGGAGGAAAATCAGTGTGGAAGTGCACATGTGACAGCTTGTTGCCTATTGAAACTGACAAATTTATCACGAAATTTCACCCCATATGCCTTCAATGGGGTGCAAGGGTCCAATTTTTGGGCTAACTATAAATTACATGTACTAGACCAAAAGTCAGTCTCACTAACCTGCAAAATAATATTTCTTCCTAGATTGAGTAATTTAAAATATAATTATTATAATCATAATACCATAACTAATTAAAAATATTTTTTATCTCCAACAGTACATCTGGACATGTAATGTGAATTTCCCCCAAAATGTTCTCATCAAATTTCACTTGCCCATTGGGAGAGCAAAGGATAGAATCACACTTCAAAATCCACTAGTCCCGGCCTATCAGACATGAGCGTCTTTACATGCTTCCCAATATTGACATTTCTCAACTCAGGACAGGTTCAGTTTACATGAAGAGTCCCTGACAACAATAGTTCTCTATTTTTTGAAGGCTTCCTTGCATTGAGTTACTGGATACACTGTAGAGCACTTTTATGGTCAATACTCTCATGGACCAGAGCTCTCATGCAATTTTTTTCTTTTTTCTTTTTTCTCTTAGCCCCTTGAGGAACAAGAGTCCAACACCATTGCTTTCCATCTAATCTTTGCTCCGGTTTCTCAACCAATTAGCACATGTGCAATTCCTTCAGGTATTGAAACTTTTTGAAGTTTAAAAAATAGCCAGTGACATGTTTACTTTGTACATAGTCCTGATAAT